TTTTCACACATTTACGCCTATACCAATGCGAAATCCTAACCACCAAGTAAGATAACTGGCAAGTTTATTGGATAGGATATAACTTTATACTTTGTACAGAGCCATATCATAGATATTTTCTCTCACTTTTATAAAGTACTTAGACAATTCTTCTGCAACCACTGTATTGTAAAGAATCCAGCAAATTTTATCCCACAGTGTTCTCAGAGCAGCGATCCAAATAGTTTCTCTAGGATACTTCTGCTTTTTGACTTATTGGATCAGCCCAAACTTTCTACAAAGTCATAAACATTTTATAATACTTTAGACAATTGTCGTTGTAAGCACTATACCAATAACACGTTGATATATCCTTTCCCACTGTGTTTTCAAAGCACAGAAAATTCTGAGAATGAACTTAATTGATATTGACGGTGTCAAAGTACTCAAAATATGGTAACACCTGAACAGGAACGGTGATTCATTGCTTTATATTTGGCAGGTTTCTACTTCAGGTGCTAACAGTAGAATAACAATAGGAAATAGGTGTAAAAAAAGGTTAGAAGAAAGTCTCAGGAGATTTACTTGGAACTTTACATTTTGTTTCTTCTGATTTCTAACTCATCTACTAACAATAAAATAACTACAGAAAAGGTGAAAGTGTAAACTCAGACCATAAGTACTTGAAATTTTATAATCACTACTAACAATACTATACATTTTTCTTTTTCAATCTTTATTTTTGTTATACTTTGAATACTTACCTACAACCTGGAAAAATAAGTATAATGTTACAGTACAAAAAATAATAAATAAAAAAGAAAGCTTTACTGAAGAAAGAAAATGTTTGATATTTAGTTATGAGGATTTTATTTTTTCATTTGTTTTAACTGTTTATTATTATAAAAGTAACTAAAATCTTAAAAATAGAAAGTTGTTAGATAAGATAATGAAAGAAAAATAATAAAAACCTTCATGGAGTATATGCGGCAGAAGCTTTTGCATTACGCTGTTCAATAGGGTCGTGTCAATGTACGTGCGCCATGTAATTTTCAACTTCTATCAGGGTATTTTTAGTCAGACACAGTTCAAAAGTCAATAAAACAAAATTAATAAATATAAATAGATTTATACTGTTACAAGATATAAGCTGTTTAGAATAAACATTTGTGGTTTCCTATTACGACTTGTAGTTATTCTAGAACAAAAAAAGTAAGTTAGATTTATTTCCTAATTTTTATGATGGTTATGGGGTCGGTCAAATCGATCAACACCATATGGAATTAATATTGATAAAATAACAGAATAAATATAAAGTTTTTATTTAAAAAACATTTGGTTATCTAGAAGGATATAGAGATTACGCAAATGAAACTTGACTGATTTCAGTTAAAGAAAAATATTTTTAATCTTAAAATAAAAATTACTTTGTATATTGAATAATCAACATTCTGACAGATAAAAATCAAGAGCAAATCTTTAATAAAAAAATCCTAAACACAGATATCTTATGTATGAAATCCTTGTAATGTTTACTAATAATCTGCAAAATTTTTTAAAGACTTGTGTACATTTTCAAAACTTACAGTACAATTACTCTCATAGATACTTTCCTGGTTACGAGCTGGGTCAATTCCACCCAGCCTGTAATGGAAGGGTAAATATTTATGATAAATTGTATATTGATATTGGTGTTAAGTCTCCTGTCCAATCACTTGTTTAGTAACTGTGTTTTGGTAAGTGTTGAATATATTTCTGAGTGTTATTGTGAATACATTTTTTGTTATTATTGAACCCTGATTGTAGCAGTGTGTTAATTTTAGACTGTTGCAGTATTATGCCAACTTACTCTACTTTACACCCATGTAGATTAATAAATGGGTAACTTTGTTCGTGTTAGTTCTACTTTAAACATACCATAGATTAATGAACAGGCAGTAGGCCTAGTTCTCGTTTACAATGACTGCATTTTTAAACATTTAGTAAGCTGACTTAGTTCTACTTCAAATGCAATGTAGATTAATAAACAGGTAGTAGACTTAGTTTATGTTAGTTGTATTTTACACTCACTGTAGATTAATGAACAGGCAATAGACTTACTTCATGCTAGTTCTATTTTAACACTTATTGTAGATTAACTAATAGAAAGTAAACTGAGTTCATCATAGTTCTACTTTGTCCTCACTGTGCATTAGAGAACGTGTACCATTTGTACATAATTGAAATACTAATGTTGTATGTGAGTTTTTGCTTAATTCCTACTAAAAGTTTTATATGGTAATTTTGTAAATTTAAAGAACTGTTATATGATGTATGAAATGTTTATTTTTTCAATATGTATTTCAGTTCCATTACTGGATTAATTAAATATTTTTTACATAAATGTAGCATAACTGTAGGCGAAGGCAGAATTGAGTGGAACTCCTTTCGAGCTTACACTTCCATTCTCTACTGTAACCCTCGTATGAAAATACAAATACAGGGCAAGAAAGTTCGAACCCGACAGCTTACCCAAGAGCTGTATAAACCACATTGTTATTGGTACACTTCTGCTCATTTTCGAGCTCGATCTGTGCAGGATGCTAAAAAGGCTGCACAAGAGGCTCATTTTGGTATGTAGAATTTTTCTGATCATTAAATAAAAATTAACTAAAGATAGGAATAAAATTGTTCCTCTGTTTGTATAAACTATTTGTCTATGTTATGGCTTTATTCATATAGACTGTTAGGTAACTGTCAGTAGATAGATAATAGTGAACATTAATAATAAGTAATAGCAGTGATGGCTTTATTTTTTATAACTTGTAATTTTTTTATTCTATAAGATAATATCAGAGAACATAAGTAGATAGAAAGTATAATTTCAAATGAATGTGATTATTTATATTTTTTTACCCATAAGTGACATAAAGAAAATGGACACACATTTCCTTAGATGTTATATCTTATTGTTTTCCTTTTCTTGGAGGTAATACTTTTGGATACCCTGTTTCCTTCATTGTTTGAGGTCTAGCACCTAGGAAATAACGTGTTTCAACTTTGATAAATAACTAGCGAAAAAACAATGAAACATTTTTGATTAATTATTCTTACACATGTACTTTGTTTCAGTTGAAATGAAACTTAAAGAAGCTGAGAGCAAAGCAAGGTAAAACTTTCTTAGAAAACAATATAAGAACTTAAGGAGATTTAGAGTATATTAGATAATTGAAAGATTAATGTCAGAGTGTTATTTGTATGTAAATATTCTCTTGAATATTTAATGAGTTGTCTATCAGTATTGCTAAAAATACCTTTTTCAGCCTTTTATAAAATTTATGCATTGTTTATTTTTACGGACTTAAAATACTTTTTATTTTGAATAAAAACTTAGATAAAGTTTTGTACCTAAAAATGACATTTGAATTGCGTTTTTATTTAAAATCAAACCATCAATTACAAACCATTTTGTAAAATCTGAAAACTTTTAATAAATATGTTTGTTTCTTGTTTTTTTACTTTGTGGTGAAGGTTAGATATTGTAAATATTCCAAGCAGGTTTGTGTGATCATAAACTACATGAAAAGTTGTGTTTGTATAACATCATTATATTATAAAATATGTTCTTTTAGTGATGTGTTTTGCAGGAGAATTGTTTATTGAGAAATGTCAGATTTAGCATCCGTGTGTGTCAAATATCTTTAAGTGTATCTTTAATGAGAAGAGTTACATTTTTTCTTGGTTTGTAGACATTTGGAAAAAGATTATGATTGTAAACTTCAGGAAAAAAATCTAAGAGTGAGTGCCATTTCTTTATTCTTGTATTTATGATTAGTTCTTTAGTTTATTTTGTTCCTGAACTACAAAATTGTTATCAAAATCAGAAGGTACAATATGTTTACAAATATGAGACATTTGAATGGGATAAAGCTTTTGATAACATGTACCTTTGAATCAAAACTTGAAAGTACCTGGTTGTTAAGGAAGTTTCTGTGCACAATTAGACACTTGTTTACTTGTAAAAAAATATATTACTATATCCAGAGAGTGCTATAAGAGCTCAGTTATTTTATACAAGTTAATAAGGAGAGTGTCAGTACTGATTACATATATAGTTTTCCCATTTATGTAAGCTACAAATGATTACAATTAGATGACGTGCTATGACTTTTCACCACATTATAACATTTATCTATTGTAAGATTTTCTCTTCTGTACTGGAGTTTTTTGACAATCATCTATACACTGAACATTTAAATAATGAGTAATTAGCCTGTTCAACAAGAGCTAAGAAGAAGTTAATGAGCTGTGATTTTTTTAAATTGTTGTTGTTGTAGGGACTATCTGAAAACTACAGAGACTGAAAATATCAGAAATATTCCTGTGAACAAATTACTCGAGTGTATTTTTTTATGTTTGAGATTATAATTACAAAAATTCAAAGTGCTCCATATACTGATTCATGAGAAATATGTTACAATTAGAACTTAAAATTTTATTATATTTAATTTTTTTCACATATGTGAATGGCTGTGTGGAAATGTAAACATTTCCTGTGTAATATTCTTGAATAATAAATAAGTTTTAAAGATTTAATGATATAAAAACATGTCAACAATAATCATTTGTATATGTTAAATTGTCCAACATTTCTAAAGTTAGCTTGATTTTTATTCAACAATGATTCTTGCTATATTACAACAGCAGCGCATACCGCCTGAATGGCTTTATTAGTTACACAAAGTGTCTTGCCATAGAATCATATCCAACAGCTATCAGCTACCGAAGCTATGTTTCTATAGTAACATGTATAATGGCTTTCACAAATGTAGTTCAACAATGATTCTTGCTATATTACAACAGCAGCGCATACCGCCTGAATGGCTTTATTAGTTACACAAAGTGTCTTGCCATAGAATCATATCCAACAGCTATCAGCTACCGAAGCTATGTTTCTATAGTAACATGTATAATGGCTTTCACAAATGTAGCCGCATGCAAGCTTTTACCCATGTTATCATGAAAACTATATCTAGTTACTTGTATGGTTTTTATGTGGTATGAATGTGCAGAGTGTTGCAGACATTGAAAGTTTCAAACATTGTACATGTATTTCAGTACAAGCTGAGAAAAGCTCAGATGGCAGCTGCTGATATGGCTGAGGAGTATAAGTTGAAGAAATTACATTCAGACATTAAGCAAAAGTAAGTCAAATTATGGAATTTATCATTCTAATTTTAAATTTCTAGTTCAGTGGAGAATAGCTTTAACTTATATATATAAGTTTAAAGTTCATGTTTAGCAAAGAAAAGCATCTTCAAATTATTTTAATATCTTGGAGAAATAAATTCAATATATGCATTAATTCTTAAGTTTATGAAATCATGATTACCTATAGAATTTTACAAGCTAGATTTGCTATAATTTTTATCTTTAAATTTATCACATATAATGTACAGTTATATTTTAAAGAATAACACTTAAACATTATGATAGCAATCACTCCTCAGTTTGATGAAATGGTAGTGTATCCTGTTGTTATAACAGGTAAAGTTAAAGATAGTTTTTCCAACTTGAAAATAAAATGTAAGCTGACTTCACTGTTACATTGAAAACAGTTAAAAGCAAGAGCTTCCTTATGTTGTTACAATGTAATAAAGTAGTGTTTATATACAGTTAGAATTAGGTCTAGAAAAAACACTTTTGTTGTTACAATGTAATAAGTAGTGCTTATATACAGTTAGAGTTAGGTCTAGAAGAAACACTTTTGTTGTTTCAATGTAATAAGTAGTGTTTATATACAGTTAGAATTAGGTCTAGAAGAAACACTCTTTTGTTGTTACAATATAATAAGTAGTGTTTATATACAGTTAGAATTAGGTCTAGAAGAAACACTCTTTTGTTGTTACAATATAATAAGTAGTGTTTATATACAGTTAGAATTAGGTCTAGAAGAAACATTCTTGTTGTTACAATGTAATAAATAGTGTTTATATACCATTAGAGTTAGGTCTAGAAGAAACACTCTTTTGTTGTTTCAATGTAATAAGTAGTGTTTATATACAATTAGAATTAGGTCTAGAAGAAACACTGTTTTGTTGTTATAATGTAATAAGTAGTGTTTATATACAATTAGAATTAGGTCTAGAAGAAACACTGTTTTGTTGTTATAATGTAATAAGTAGTGTTTATATACAATTAGAATTAGGTCTAGAAGAAACACTCTTTTGTTTTTCTCTATTTAAGTTTGTTTACCAAGTAAAATCCTAGGGGTTGTGTTGACAGGCTGTGAGCCCTTACAGGTGTTGCTTGTGTTCTACTGATTCTTTTCTTTTTGTAGCTACAACATATGGTACTTAGTTTTCCAACAGACTTGTTCATATTTTTTTCTGAATGTTGATGAATACTTTCCATAGTTGCCATTTTTTGCATTATCGGTATAAAGGAGGTCAATATCTCACTTGTAGAATTGTTTCAAGTTTCATATAGGTTACAAACAAGGTTTGTATTGACAGGTTTTCTTACAAACCTTTCAATTTCTCATTTAACTTTATCTCTGCATGACCTTGCACATACATCCAAGTGATGGTTTTATTGTGCATTTGCTTTGCTTTCCGTCATCCATTTGGACCAACCACTCTGAATTTTGTGTAGTACTACCTATAAGCCAGTTTCAGTGCACAATTAGACCTGGAGACAATTGTTTATTTGTGAAAAAATAAATTCTCATATCCAGAGAGTGCTCAGTTGTTTTATATACTGGTTAATAAGAAAAGTGTCAGTACTGATTACATGTATATTTTTTCCCATATATATATATATCTATGTGTCAGTATCAGGTATTATGTTGGTGGCATTGTCTATTGTTTTCAGCAATCCTGAAGAACATTGCTTTATGGTTTCGAACTTCATCCTTGTGCCACTTGTGAAAAGTTTGAATGCTTTATGTAGAATGTTGTTGCTCCATGAAATGATGAATATCCGACCAACTCACTTGCTATTTGTGGTGTTGAAACCATCTGTGGCTATAAGAATAGATGACTATCCACCATGGACATTAAATAGGTGCTGACAGGCTTTTTGTGCTTCATCCTTTATGTAGTCTGTTCATTTTCTGTCTTGGCTGATTTCCACAGTTCCACTGTTGTGAAATGTTTAATCCACATTGGGTCATTTGAGATTTAGTGGTGACTAATTATATCAATGGTAACTGTATGGGATCTGTCCATCCATCCACGAGTGTGTCCTAAAGCATCTATTAGAAGTCCCCTGCTTGGTTGGTTTATGTGGGGTCATTATGGAGCTGGAATGTTCCAGTTGAAAAGGGCAGTGACTCAATGATGTAATGCATGATCTTTGTACTGTAAGGACTTAGTGAAGAAGTTTGCTTATAAATATTGTTTTTGCTATGCAATGCTGCCGAGGCTTGTGAATTGTAATAGGATCTTGATGAGGGTGGGTTCATTCCATGACCAGTCTTAAACATATTTTGTATCTTTTTCAATCTTATCTAGCTGTGTAGCACTCATACTGATTATTGGTGGTGCATATTCCAGGATGGAGCAGATAAGACTGTCTTAGAGCATAAGCAGGTGATGTTCATTATCCCGATGTAATTTTTAGTGTTTATTTTAGAGGGATGGAAGTGTCTACAGAGAATGGTGATGTTTCATCTTTATCTGCGTGTATGTTTTTGAATAGGCAGAACACGGTTATGGCTTATTAACCCTTCCGTTGTGGGCTGGGTGAAATCCACCCAGCTCATAACCACAAAAGTATCCATGAGAGTAATTATACTATGATTTTTGATAATGTACACAAAACTTTGCAGGCTATTGGTAAACATTACAAGGCTTTCATACACAAAATATCAGGTTTTTAAGTTAAGTATTTAGATTTTTTAATTAAAGATTTTATTGTAAAATTTGTTTTATCAGAATGTTGACTATCCAACATGCAAAGTTATTTTAATTTTAAGATGAAAAATACTTTTATGAATTGGAACATTTTCAAATTTCACGTGTGAAATCTTTATAACCTCCAGATAATTATCAAGTTTTTCTAGAAAAAACTTTATTTTATCTGTTATTATCTGTAATGTATCTCTGTGTGGGTTGGTTTGATTTGACCAGCTTCATAACCCCCCAATAAAAAAATTAGGAAACACAAATGTTTAGTCTAAATAGCTGAAATTTCATAACAGTATACATTTATATATATATATTTAGTATTTTTATTATATTGACCTTTCAGCTGTGCCTGTCTAACATTACAGAAGCTACAATGACGAGTTGTACATGCACTCATGTTACCACATCCAAGAATATAAAACTGGCCCTTACAAAGTGACCTGTCTTGGCTGTGTTTTAGTAGACTAGTATTTTGTAAAATACAGTCACATTTCAGTTTTAATACATTATATATGTATACACATTATTACTACTTAAAATAAGTTCTTAAATTTCAGTGATTTTTCTTAAAACATAGAACAGTAAATAAAGAATTGTAGAAAATAATTATTTCTTCTAGTTATGATCTTTGAACTCGTTTGCTGCTTGCCGTAGGTTGCTGAGCCTTATCAAAATTTGCAACAAAATAATGACGACAAAATAATTTTTTTAAGTGTTACATATATATTTTGAAATAACAAAAAATCATATATTACAATATCAATACCATCGAATTCCACTATAATTTATCAAGTTTAGTTACTAAGCTGTATTTGGGTCCAAAAAATATAAAATTTCAAGCTCACTAAAGACTTACCTTATCATTTGAAATCTGCCATTAAAAGAAAAGATTTCCTGCATAAATACTTTGCAAAGGCTCGGAGAACCACATGGGGGACATTCTGAGTTTTTAAATCGTTATTCACACATCATAGACAGAAGTAGGTGGACGTAAGCGTTTTCAAAAATGGAAAGAAGTGGATGGTGCCACTGTGTTTGATTCAGTAAATGTAGTGATATCTCAGCAAATAGAAGAGGTAGGAGGTTCTTATTTTAGATTCTAGCTTGGCAATATCAGTAATTTGAGTTCTTAATTCGTAAGAAATTATAGACTTTGTATTTGGACATCACAAACATATGATTTGAACCAACGCTGCATTCAACATACCACACGACACACAAAAATTGATATTTAGTATTTTTTTTTTAATATTTACTTTCAATTGAATCATACTAAAATTTGAATTATAATCTACCATTTGATACCAAACTTATTGACATAATACATAATAGTAGTTCAATATGATATTGAATGCAAGTCAACAAACATAATATGATATGGCTAAAAGCTTAAAATTCAAGTAACTTGTGTATATATTCGAATATTAAAATCTATAAATGAACAAAGTTTTATAATACACATTTGAAATTTTATTTAAACTGATCAACGATTTAAAGGTCACTATACATGTTTCAATGTAGTTTCACATCATCTTCAGGAGTGTGAAAAACAGTTAGTGTGTGCTATATAAGTACAAAAGCCATGGTCATGTGTCTACTAGTTTATAATTCAAAAAAGATTACACCATCTACATACTTTCTGATTTTCTAACCCTTCATCCTTATTTAAGATCAATTTGTTTTTGCCTCGTTTTATTATTTCAGTGGTTTCTCTAATATTTTTAGCAGTCATATTTGATTGAGGCAAAATAACTATTTTTTTTTCACTGGATGATATGTCCAGTTTAATTTACATGTTCAGCTAATGCAGAGTTTTCACTTTTGTTTTTAACTTTTTTTCCTTATGTTCATTTATTCTGAATTTTAAATTTCTTCTAGTTTGACCAATGTATGCATGACCACATTCACATTGAACTTCATATATACCTGTTTTTGCCATTAGATTTATTTCATCTTTAGTTTATTTAATATTTGACAAATTTTGTTCAATGGTCTGTATATGGCAATAAGATTTTTCATTTGGTTTTTGAATTTATGAAACATTTGACATGGTAAACCTGGGAAATATGGTAAAAAAAAATATTTCTTTTTTGTTTATTTTATCAGATGTTAATCTTAGTTTACTTTTTTGTTCCACATTTATTTTGTTAAAGTTCTTCATGGTTCTATCAACAATATCTCTATCTAATGGTACATGTTTAATAAGTAACAATTCATTTTTTAAATCTGCTGAATTAGAACATAGTTATAAAGACCTGTAAACATAACAGTAAAAAGCTAACTTTTGTTACGAC